GAGTTTGTCGCGGGTCTGGGGGAGTTTCAGCCCCCACCCCTCTCTCTCTCTCTCTCTCTCTCTCTCTGGTCTGGGGGAGTTTCAGCCCCCACCCCTTCTCCTCCTCTCTCTGTGTCACCCCGCAGCAACATTCAGGCTGTAGTGCTCCGACACTGCAGCAGCCACGTTCTGCTTTGAAACGTTTCTTTAGTTTGTTATTGCTACGAGCTCTCATGCTAAAGCGAGAGTTGACTCCTCCCACACTAAGAAAACAGGAGGGGAGGAGTCAGCTGAGCTCCTGTGTAGCGGAGCACAGAGAGGGAGAGAGACGAAGTAAACAAACAAGCAGGAAAATTAAACTTATCGTCCTCATTTTTTTTACCGACCTCAAAATAATTTATCGTGCAATTTATTGATTTATTGACTATGTGACAGGTCTGTTCATAGGTTAATAACAGAGTTGACTCCAAACAGTTAATTGCAAAATTTAGATAAAAAATCTGGAACATATTTGTTAGCTCACAGAATAGGCAAATGAGATTAATCTCAGTAACTACCACACCTAAATTTTGTGTTTTAGCCGTTTCTTTTGTTCATTTGGCTGTGGCAGCCATCTTGGATCAAGCCAAGTCCAAAAGTTAATCAGCTGTAGGCGTTCTAATGATTTGTGACTTTTTGCAAAGCTTCAATAAAACTTGTTTAGCGGTTCATGAGATGAGCTGAAGGCAGAAGCATAACCATCCATTTTAGTTTGTCATGGTTGACAAACGACAATAACAGAAGAATGTTTGAGTCGATTCATGTGTTCTTTGGTTCAGAAATATATTTTGCTAGGACAGAAAACAGTGTCGTGGCTTTCAGTTTCCATCCATAAGGAAAAAAGCAAAGTGAACACTTCCAACATTCTTCCCTGACAGACTCACAGAGCAGCTCATGATATCAGATACAGCCAGGCCAACAGCTCGGAGGTAAATATAGAGCTGACAGGAGAGAGAAGACAGAAACTTTTTCTTTAGATTGCTGATTTGTTTCAGTTTAAATGATCACTGCATGGCTAGAGTTCATGAACTTATATCAGCCTGCTCATTGTTTACAACACACATGGTGAATCATGCTGTTCGAACAGATTACAAATTCTCTGCATGTTGCAGATGCTTCAGATGAAACACGGGAAGGCAAGTTTTCTATTTCAAGATTGCGCTGAGCATGAAAACTCAAGTGGTGCGTGCTGGTTTATGTGATCATCAGAGCAGCCCAGAGCTGTGCTGAGAGGCTGAAGCAAATTCATCAAGATACTCCCCAACAACGGACACAGCCATGGAGGATTTCACACGCTCAGATGTCGATGCTGAGATGACAATGTTGACATCTGACGATGTTACAGGGCAGAGCGCTGGTCCCAGTGATGAGGTGGAAATCCTTCAGAACAGGTATTAAAAGTGTTTATTTGCACCTCAGTTGTTCACGGGATGTATTTTACCAGTAGAGCAAAAACAGGCAACTGGAAAAACTGGAAAAATTGCAACTATAATAAAAATGTGGTGTCTAAATGACTTAAAACTTGCTAAAGAAGCTTATACTGACTTGTTAAGAGCTGAAAGACAAATGAAACTAAACATCAGCTGAAAACTAAAAGAAGCAAAAGGCTAGCTAAGTGCTGAATGTAACCAAAGGCTAAAATTGCTATAGAGATACTGTTTATTAATAAAATTGTAGAAATGCAGTGGGACTCATCCTTCTTGGTATCAAAATAACTTGTGTAAAACTCAAAAGGTCATTTAATTTATCTTCAACAGATATTTTTGTTATTTTGTTGTTGTTGTTGTTTAGTTTACGAGAGGCCGTCCATGATGACAACATCCAGCCAAAGATGCAGTGCCTTATGATGGACGCCTCTTTCTCCATGGTAACAGTGCAAGGTGAGGACAGTGGGATTGCCTGGGAGACGACCCCAAGTGTCAGCTCTACATCGTGGGCTTCTGAGGCCACAGATGTCTCTCCAGCTTCGATGCAAGCTGCAGCACCTGGGTCACAGCCAGCAGGAAAGATTATATTTGTCATGGATGAGGAGATGATTTCAAGACAAAGGAAAACTAAAGAGAAAGAGAGTAGTCAGAAGAGCAAAGCAGAAAAACAAGACATTCTGGCAGAGAGCTTTGGGAACTTCTCAGGACGTCCAGAGTTAGTGGAAGTCTCTCAACCAAATGTAAAAGTCGAAGGAGAAGAAGATGAAGAGGTAGCGCCTTGTCCTCTAGCAGATAAAGAGCAGTGCCTGTTCAGTATAGTGTCTGAAGGTTCGGAAATCCTCAACATTGTGGTTCCCCCTAAACTGGCTACCGTGGATGAAGAGGAGAGCAAGGAAATGTTGGATAATCTGTCATATCTGGAGGACAGTTCTGTCCCTAAAGCCACTGAGGACACCCAAGACAACGAGCTGCTGATTTCAACTGAATCAGAAATGGAGCCAAGTAACCAGCTCAGTCCTCCACATCGTACATGTCCAGGTACAATGGATCCACCAGGGGCTCCAGTGGCCAGACCTCCAGGCCGAGGAGCTACTGGCAACCTGGACTACTTTGAGGCCTTCTCACTGATAGATGCCCAGGCTCCGGGAAGTCCTGCTGTTATTGCACACCAGGAATCAGTGACAGAAGCCACTACAGATAGTCGGGAAACAGAGAAGCCAATGCAGTTTGAAGACCACGCCATCAATAAAAGTGTGAACAATGACAAGTTAGACACAGTCAGTTTACAGGAAATCACTAGTGAGCTTCTAGATGATGTTTTCTATGGCGGCACAGACAATTACCCTATAAAAAGTCTGGACAGCACAGACGAATTAGGACCAAAAGGTCCAAAATCCAGGCTCCCTTCCAAACCAAGTGGTTCATCTTTGTTCAGTAGCCAAGAGGATATCCTAACTCCGATCTTTCTACCTGAAGGACCACCAAAAATTATTGACCCGATTTTACTGGAAGAACCAAAAGCAATGGCTTTTCTTTACACTGACCTGTACGAAGAAGCATTGGGCAGCTGGAAAAAAGATGAGGACACTGAAAGTATGACCTCTGAGAAGTCCTTCCACAGCAGGCACTCAGACCGAGAGGCCCGAGGATACTTAGAGAAATATGCCCTCATAGACGAGACCCCTGCTGTGGAGGTGGAACAGCCAGAAAAAGAAAAATGCCCAGCGGAAGAAGATCGAATACTACCCCAAGACTTGCTTGACTTTGAAGATGCTCTGCTCAAGTCTGAAAAAGACATGCGAAGGTCTGAAGAAGTCACAGATTTCTTTAGGTCCAGTGCCAATTCTTCTCCCTGCGACATAGACCCTTTCCCTCGAACCCCAGAAGACAACGACACACAAACAAAGAGTGAAACCAAGACACAAAAACGTGTCTCGATAGCGGTAGAAAAAGTAACAGAAACTCCTGTTGATCTGCTTGAATCTTCAAGCTTTGTGTTCCCCTCTGAAAAACCAGACTGGGATATTACAGATCATCATCCTCTGGCTGAAGATGAGAGACGTGTCAGCATTTGTAAAGATGAGGAGAAGCTGAAACAAGGTTCAGAGACAAATATGCCAGCTGTTCCTCCCAGAAGGAAGGCAGCCTCCTCTACTAAAGGATGCTTGGATCTGACACCTCTGACTCCAGTTGATGGGATTTCACAGGAGAAAGAAGAGGTTGGAGGGAAGGAGCAAAGAGTGGAGGAGAAAGAGACAGCTTCACCAGTGGAGACTGCAGATGAGGGGGACGGAGACGGAGAGGAGAACGTACGGGCCATCTCTGAAGTTACACTACAGGAGAGCACCCTGGCTGAACTGAAAACTGGCTCCGCAGAAAGTGAAAGTGTAAAAGCATGCAACAAAACCACTGTCCAGGACGCAAAACCAGCTGAGAAGAAAGACGCAAAAACGTCCGAAGAAGAGGGAAGAAGTGAAATGGAAACAGCTGCAGAACAAACAGGACTGGAGGAGACAGATGACCAGTCAGATGTTAAAACAGAGCTGATTCCAGAGAAACAGGAAGACTGTCCAACCACCGCATCAGTGGAACCAGCTAAAAACAAATGGCAGTGTTTCATCCTTTAGTCAACAACATTTTTACCAACAAAAATCTAACATTCATGAGTGCACTTCTCCCATTGTTATTACCATAGCAACAAATCTCTAGTTTTTAAAAATACAACTCCAATACCAAAACAGCTGTGACACTGAATAAAGTGTAATTAAAAGCTGAATGCAGTAATTTGAAAATTTATTAAACCCACATTGATTTGCAATAGAACATAATAACTAGAGTTAATACTTTAACTAACATGAGGTAATAACATCAACAGATATCAAAACTTGTGAATTATCCTCTTATCTTTTGGCAACGGTCTGTGAATGTCTAATGAGGAGACTATTGTAGTTACTATATTTTTTAAAAGGGAATATTGTCCCATAATTTTCAAAGACTCAATCTGTTCTTCCTGCTTTTTTCATGTTTTTTTTTTTTGTTATTGTTGTTGTAAAAGATGCAGCATTGCCACTGTCTTTTCTTGGAAATACTCATGCAAGGCATTTCATGAAAAATATATAATCTGGATGAAAACATATGTTCTTCTAAAACCTACATAGACTTTTCTGATGCCTTTCCATATTTATCGTATTTTCTAGACTATAGTCGCTTCGGAGTATAAGTCGTAATAGTCGAAAAACATGTCATAAAGAGGAAGAAAAAACAGATAGTTCACTTCAGAGTATAAGTTGCGCCTGACTAATTACATCAGAATAGACATTTAATCTGGAATAACCTAATAACATGCAGAACATTGCTCGTGGGATGTTGAATATCCTTAATTAACACAGACAGATGACACAGATGAGAGCAACTGTAATTGTAACAGTTTTTTTTCAGGGGTTCAGCTAAACAACAGTTTGCTTGTGTTTCCAAAAATAATTTTTTAGTTTAGATTTGAATGATTACAGACCAAAAAGAAATAAATTGTATAGGTCTTCTGGACGGGTTCTTCTCTAATGAAACGTTTCGTCTCTCCTCCAAGAGACTTCTTCAGTCTGAGAGTTTCAGGCAAAATTCAGGCTTTTGTGTTTCATCCTCATCTCTGAAAGAGTGACCGCTGGCC